TCTTTCTTTCTTACATATTAAACTTAATTTATTTGCAGTGGAAATCTAAAAACTACCAAAAAAAACACCTACCCTAGTTTGCACATACAAATACGAAGGTCGCAACCGTATAACAATTTAAATCTTTGGATAATTGATATCATTTAATGCGCATTTTTGTAGGTTGAGTGTAATACCACATGTTTTTTACTTAAAACATTGTRYTTTTATAACATACACCAAGTTTCCTTTAAAAATACTAGTAGTTTGGCGAAGCCATATGTTTGTTCGGTTCACCGGACGGAAAATATAGACTCTATGTTATGCATATTTGTGAGCCTAATCTCATATCTTCCACAATTCTTCCCTATCTGCATATAGTGTTCTTGAATTTTTAAGGAGTGTACAAGCCGATGCTGGTCTAATTAGCACAGTTTTGTATAAAAAGATTTAAGGATAAGAATTATCATACAAAAGGATAAGTTCAGAATAGAACATCTACCCAATTAAACGATTTCATAGACTCATTGATGTACACTCAACAACAGTATTATTATTTCCCCAGTACTAACTACATACATCAGTATCAATCAAGTAAAACCACAAACTCAAAAGTAATCTGAATCCCACACTAGCACATTATTGCCTCCTTGGTATCAACATAAGTGTAAMAAACTCAAACTCAATGGGCTGTRCAACTTTGCCATTACCGTCAGCGCTGTCACACTCATCACTCACGCTGTTTCTCGCCTTTTTGTACCTGATTCCCTGACTCAATAGTGTCACCATCAGCAACATCGTCTTCATCAGCAGTATCATCGTTGATGTCATTGTAATCTCCAAAGCTCTATCCTTGGAACAAACCGGATAAGAAGAAGGGGACAAAGAAGTATAAAAATTATTGTATTGGTGGAGCGGGAAAGCCCAGGAAGTCGGCTGAGCAGAGCTTTTACCGTTTCATATGCGTTGCAATTTGACAACTACAGCAGTAATAACATCTTCTTGGTTTCAGTTTAATTTCGCCTCCATCTCGTCAAAACCAATAGCAAAGACATGTGAGTTATTTAACTTTTTTGTTTTCCGACTTTTGCCTGCATGCAGAGAAAGGGAGGGAGAGAGTTGTAAGTTTCCGTTTGGCGTTTGTTGTTTGTTGTTAGGCCCATGTAACATATTACATTGGGTAAAAATATTTTATTGAGATGTCTCAACCAAAGACCGTTCATATAAACTCAAGAGCGAGGCTAAGAAGCATTTTGACATCTTTATAGCGTTATTTTTCAGAACTGTTAAATTTAAAACCACAAAAAATGCTACCATAGCGGCAATGGCGATCTTTAGCAAAGATCGGACTGTATAACTACACCTTCCTTCAAAGGTAAAGATGACTGCCCTCGTTCGGTTTCATTGCATCATATTTAGATACGACGATCAATAAGATTGCAGCAGTAAGTAATATATCTGAATAAAATATCTTACAATAAAATTTATATACAATAAATTCCGTAAAGACTATGATATTTTTTAATGTAAAAGGGAGTAAATCGTGATGAGAAATTACACACTTTACTAAATGAAACTTTAAATAATTGATGTGAACACAAATACGCGAAATTGTCATCGAATTCATTTTTATACTGAATTAATGTTAAGATCTTCTACTTTACAGGCGTAGACACCGCATACGCGATTATATCCAAGTTAACAATAGCGTAGCAGTCGATTCTTGTTTTCGCAACAAGGTGCCAATTGTTTATAGAAATGATTGAAGTTTTGCTCCGAAACTACGATTTTATAAATATAAAACTAGTTAGAATCTCTTTGATGAAAAATGAAAAGACGAAGATTAACAGCAAAGCCCACAGCCACTGTAAAAGAAAAAAAATTGTTATTTTTTATTCTGGCTATGGGCTRGAATGATTGCCACTCATATAATATTGTGTTTATGCAATCAATTGATTGGAATCTTTRCAATAAATTCCTAGCAGAAATTTGAGTCAATTTTGGTTCAAGACGAACRTATGGTTTAGATATTTATATGTTTAAATTCACAAGAAAAKAGTTTACTCCGAAGACACCAAATGCGATTTGCATTGCAATTGACGAACATCCATTCGTTCTTAGCCGTCCCCTTTATGTCAAGATTAGCTGATTAAAAATGCAGTAACAGTATCTATAGTTGGTATTCGCCTAAGCTTTGCACCACCTTATTCAGTAGTTCTGTGCAACACATATTTACGATACCTTACATCTGTCTCTTATACACATCTAGATGTGTATAAGAGACAGGTCCTAGTATTTTCAGCTGTGTTTTACATTCGATGTTAATTTGGTTGTGGGTAAGTGCAATACCGTTGCAATTTTGCTTCCTACATACATGAAGGATATGTGTTTTGTCTAAAGAAAGTGAAGCACCAGACTCCAGTGACCAAGTCTCGATTATATCCAAGTTAACAATAGCGCAGCAGTCGATTCTAGAAATGACTTCAATTTTATAAATATAAAACTAGTTAGAATCTCTTTGATGAAAAATGAAAAGACGAAGATTAACAGCAAAGCCCACAGCCACTGTAAAAGAAAAAAAATTGTTATTTTTTATTCTGGCTATGGGCTGGAATGATTGCCACTCATATAATATCTGTCTCTTATACACATCTAGATGTGTATAAGAGACAGGTCATTCCGAGCTACTATGAATCGGTTTCACACCACGTTTATTCTAGTGGTCTCTAGCACCGAGGACGCTATTGTTGCTGTTTAGTAAAATATCAAAGAAAATCCGAATGCGTCCATCCGCGCTCAGCAATTAGAGCTGTGCCCATCCAGTTTATGGAACATTTTAATTATTTTTAAAATGTAATCTTTATCTTATATTATATATCTATTTGTCGGCCATAATATTAAATTATATGCATTTTATTTCTTCTTGAAAAAACACATCTCTAAAAAATACACTCTTTATTAATTTGTTGCCATCAACCCCTGTCATCTCACACCATTGCCGCTAACAAACACTTATCCGGGCATTTTACCAATCCAACAAACAAGTAAGCAAAGAAACGACGTTGGAGAGCAAAGACAAACCCATGCCAATTCCGGGCACTCTTTGCTCCGGCTTTTATGGAACAAACACACCAATGGCAGCGCCTACATATCTGTTGCGGTTATAAAGAACTCGGCGAAAGTCTTCTGCTGGTAAGGTAGATTTTCTAGAGTGCAAAAACAAACTCCCTGAGACATTCTGTGCGCACTGCTGCTAATACTTGAAACCCAAGCGACAGTAAAGCAAAGCATATAAAAGGGTTTTAAGCAAACAGTTGAAAGAAGCGAAGGAGGTAAAAAAATTGTGTAAATAGAAAAAAATATTTATGAAAGACAAAAAAAATAAAAAACAGAATGATAACATCTTGGTAGCTTAGGCATGACTGCAGTCTGCTTTCTAAGCATTTAGCTGCATTTTTACTGGGGGGATTTTAACAGCTATCCAGCTTGAAGTGCTTCTTCGGTTATCTACTGTTAGCATCAGCAATCATCGCATTCAACGTTAATTTCTAAGACACACAAATAAAATCTTTTAATGCTACGAATTTTATCTGTAATTTGTAATCTTATAACTGTAAAAGCACATATAAAAATTWTACAAATTGATATGTAACCTGGTGCTTCATATTTATTTACTCCTTCTTTGCTTTATTTATTTCTTGTGTTTGTTCTTTCAGATGCTTCCAACTACTTTGACACCCAAGGACCTAATTTTTCGCATGAGCCGCCATCTCGCATCGAATTCACCAATAACGCCGGCAGCATTGCCGATTGCATAGCGCATGGCAATCCACCGCCGAATGTCGAATGGCTGGACAAGGACAATAATCCCATCACCTCGATATCAAAGGTGAGATTTATTCTGTCTCAAACTTAGTTAGGATGTATTTATTTTTAACTCTCATACCTTTTTTTGTTCTTTATATTATATATTTCGTCCAAATTTGTTGGGTGTCTGAAATACGAATAATTATTCCAGCTTTGAGTTATTTTCTATGCAATTTTTTGTTATTATGATATAAAGGCTCCTTACCAGAGCTTCCACTTCCACAAGACGAAGTGGAAACTTGTAGTTACTTTCTCCTCCATTGCTTTGGCCAATCTAAGATTGAAATATCTCTGGTAAGGTTAAAACGCTTCGTCGATATATGAGGATAAAGTTATGGGCTTTCTGTGGTTTATGAGTAGCACAAAGGACTAACATATTTGTAATATCCAATATTTAGGGTCAACCCTACAGCTTCGTCCAATCTAACCATGGCTAACTTCTTAATTTAATTTTTTATTGTATTCAAGTATTATCAGCCCTTTGAGCTAAAGAATTGTTTATGAAACGGACTGTTCACCGGTGTATAGTAAATAAAGCCGACCTGACTTAACTATTGATTATTGAAGACTGAATAGTGATTCTTTAGAAAAAATTGACGAAAAGCCAAACGCGCAATAGAGTTTCACGAGGCAACTAGACTTTAGAGTTCTCAGCTGTGGAATAAAAGATCTATTGTTTTACTATATAGTATACAGGTGTCAGGAAGATCCTTCGATTTGTTGCTGTGATTAGGTTAGGCAAATTTCAGAAATACACTATTCGTAAAGCGCTTAGTCTGAAAGTAGTAACAGCTTTAGTTATTTCAAATTATATTCTATGAATCTTGGTCGTCAACAGTCTCCTTAAAAAACTTAAAGATCGTGACTGCTGGGTTATTGACTATACAGACAATGTAGTACTTATGGTCAGAGGAAGGATATCGTAACTAATTTGAGAGCCGGAAGTGTTCCCGCTTTTATCCAATAGCGATACTAACCTTGATCTCACGAGTCGATACACATTGTAATAACACTATAAGGTGCGTTTCAAAGTAAAGACGACTTAAAAAAAACAGGACAAATGGTTTTTTCGGCAAAACCAATTTATTTTATTCAATATGGTCTCCTCCTGCTTCAATACAGCTTTTTGCACGATACAAAAGCATGTCGAACGAGTGTTTTAGCTCGTTGGCCTGTATGGACGCCAGCATGCCGATGCAAGCCTTTTGAATTGCCTCTACGTCTGCATAATGCTTTCCTTTCATGGGCAAATGCATTTTTCTGAAAACGAAGAAATCACACGGTGTCATATCAGGTGAATACGTGGATTGTTTAATGGTTAAAATGTGATTTTTGGTCATATAATCGGTCACAAGTGTCCATCGAATGTTGGATTCTGATAAATTTTTGGTCGTCAGTCAATTTGTGCGGAACAAACCCTGCACACACCTTTCGTAAGCCCAATTTTTCGGTCAAAATGATCGATGTTTTGGATATGCTGAATTTCGTTTCCATGAACTTCAATTATGGCTTCGGCTTATTTTTGATGAATTCACGCACAGTTTCGATGGCATTTCCAATTTTAAAACAAAATTTAATGTTGGCTTTTTGTGTGAGGCTCATTTTCTCACCGATAACACAAACATACTAACACTTACAACGCAATAACTTCGCTTTCAATCAATGAAATGTCATGAAATTCTTATTGGACAATCGTTAAAAATAGCAGATTCTAAACGCAACAGTCGACATATAGATGGCGCCAACAAGGGGCGCTAGATTCAAAAAGTCCTGTTTACCTGTTGACCTCGCGAGGCCTTGCTCAGCAAGAGAGATCTACCTAGTTGTGGGATTCTAACTGTAATTGTCCTTGCGGCATTCATTCTGCAGGGTCTTACCTGACGCAATTTGCAAAAGCTCTACGCAGCGGGTAAAAGCATTTCAACACTTCCAAGGGTATAATCACTTGGAAACTCAAATTATCAGATATCCCAATGAGCTAATTACAATTGAAGTTTGACGCCTGAGCAAATGTTTTATTGGCCATGGGATGCTCTGCTGACATATAAATCGCAAATCTGTTTTTATGGCTTCCCAATCGGCTACATACATATATAGTAATCCAAGTGCGTTCGCTGGGTCAGCCATCGAAACTTAATTAACCTTAGTTATATATTATATAATATATATGTATATTGTATATGTATATATTTGTTTATAATTCCGGTCACTCGTAAGAGTTCTAGGGATCTCAAGCAGTCTAGGTAAACAAATGCCACAAGAATAGTAGCTACTGTTATAGCCATCGATGCAACCTTAACATATCTTGCAAACAAAATCGGTATTCCTCACTTGAATTTATATAACTGATATAGAAATAAGTAAGTATGTATGCTTGGAAATAGGGGAAGAAATGCACTTCAATTAAATGAAATTTAACAACTTAAATAACAACGAAATTTAACAACTTATAACTAAACAGTTTGGTAGTCTCTGTCGCAAGCACTAACACTCAAGCGGAAACATGAGCCGCAGCTCGAACAATGCCTGATACACTGTACCCGTACAAAAAGCGAAACAACTGCAACCAACATAAAAATTCAAATATAAAGCAGTAACAACAAAATGACAATAAAAGCAACAATCAAACTGACGGAGGCGCTCGAGGTGCAGGCGGGCGGCCAGAGTTAGTTTCGAACAAATTCAATCAATAACCACTTCAACAAAAACTTCCGCCATTGGCGGCTAGCCTGAGTTATTTAGATATGGTGCTGAATATACAGACTGTTGGCGGTTGGAACTGAGCGAGTGTCGTTAAATATAATATAACAGTGAGACATGCTGGCGCACTCGGCAAGCAGGCAAATACTGCGAAAAAGGGTGTTGTTGGTCAGGAAGATTAACGGGCGGTCGGACAATGTAGTAGCTTCGCATTTTATTTCGCACAGCAACTTTTCTAGAAACGTCGATGCCACAACAAGCGCCGGGCGAAGTCAATGCGCCATTGCCGTTTGTTTTTTTGCTAGTGTAGTGGGTACAACAATATGACATTGGCAGTGGTCTTATTTGTCGTCGGCTCCCGCATCCTTGAAACTATCCCCTTTAAGTGGGTATGTGTGCGTATATTTTAATTTTATGGTTGTCTTTGTTCCCTTACTCAGACCCATCCTACCTCTTTGATGCACTTCTCATTAGTGCCTGCAATGGATTTCCGAATATTTGTACTTTCGGTGGCAACAGCCGCCTATTTGTCGAAAATTTTTACAACGTAACAATGCATTCCACCGCTTTCAAAAACAAAAAAAAAAAAAAAAAACACACACATTATTACTCGCCCACTTCTCAATGTGAGAATTAAAAGTTTGGCATTATCTCCAATTTCTTTACCAAAATTACTTTTCCAATATTTTTCCATTTCTCCCTCTACTGCCTGCTAAAACATTTACCTCTCTCTTGCAGGTCCGTCATATGCGGGCTAACGGTTCACTCTATTTTCCCCCATTGGAGGCAGAAGAGTTCCGTCAAGATGTCCGTGTATCATTGACGTGACGTTGTGATCAAAGCAGGTAAGTACGGCGATAAGTCGGAATTAGAAATGTTAGAAACACAATCGCTGACGTTGCGTTGTGTCCTAAGAGAATGAGAATCGAAATATTTCTACTTATTTGTCTCATTCTCTTAGAGCTGGTCAGGTTTACTACGATAATTGCACTAATCATCGTAAGAAGAACGAATTTCTGAGCATGGATCACAAAGGCCGTTAATGCTGACAGGAGTTTGAGTCATTCATATTCAATGCAAAGGACAATTTCGACTCCATAATGTCCGACAAAACTTATCATCCGCTTCAAAAGAACTATGGTGATCTTATATCCTGAAATTTAAGTTAGTGTGAAGCTCTCAAAAGAAGTACCCTCCATAACTTCCCCTTGAGCTTTAATTCTTCCGTTAAAGTGTTCATTACGTTTTTTTCGTGCACTTCACTCAGTCCGCATATCCCTCGCAGAGATATGTCCGCAAAGAAGAAATCACCAGAGTAGGTTCCGCGTCTGTTCCTCTGAAAATAAATAGCTTGAAGCTTTTGTTTAAAAATCGTAGAGTCTTAAAGGACTCACTTCTCTTCTAAAACTCTAAAAGTTAAATGAAGAAGATATTTAGTAAGGATATTGTCTCTATTTATTCTGACGGGTCCATATGGGATTGCGAGTTAAGGAGGAGACATACTCCGTGGATATTCATAATTATTTCCGAGTTTCGTCGAATAACTAAAGAAGGAAACAGAAAATTAGATTAGAAATATGTAACCAAATGCAAGATAGCGAATCAGATATGACCAAACTATGATAAGACAAGAGCTTAGAACTTTTTAAATATGTCTACCATAACGGGGCATTAACCAGTTGGGGAATATGAGTTAAAAATAGGAATATTTTCCGTAGTTGCAAACTCGAAGGGAAAAAGGAAAACAGTTCTATACTTCCTTTGTGAGTGCCCAGATCTATCACAAACCTTATATAACATAAAAGTTTTGGAATCCATCAGGTATCAAACATTGAAAGTCTATCTACAAAAATCATAATGAAGATAAGTGATAAGTGAACACATGGTTCAAATACAACGATGGAAGAAGATAGATATAATTAAAGAACTTACAATAGTGCTTAAAAATGACGCATCTAGGCTAATTAAGTTAATTAAGCGGCTGCACTAACTTCAAACTACTACTACTTGACTACTATACGCTCTCTTCGATGGCAAGTCTGCATAGAAATTTAGAAATATATCGATTTTATTTAAATTTTTAACTTTAATTTTACAATCGTAAAAAATAAAATAAAAAACTAATATTAACCCTATACATCCACGTGTATTTTATTGAATAATAGTGTAAGTATAAAATGTGTTTTCTTTCTTTTGCGTATAGATATGTAGTATACATATAAAATGTATATAAACTGCGCTCTTAGCTGTAGATGTTTTGAGGGTCAGAAATGTTAAATTAAAAATAATATATCGAATCAAAATATATGTGTGCGCTAAAAAATACTTTCACAGAGCCAAGACAACATGCTCATATATTCACTTATATAATACAAGGTGTGTTCCACAGTAAACAGTACTTAACAAAAAAAAAAAAAAAAAAACAGAACAAATGTTTCTTTCATCAAATTTAATTTATTTTATTCAAAATAGTCTCCTTCTGCTTCAATACAGCTTTTGGCACTGTTCAAGTATTTTAGCTCGTTGGCCGGTATGACCGCCAGTATGCCGGTGCAGGCCTCTTGAATGGCCTCGACGTCTGCATAACGCTTTCCTTTCATGGGCAAATGCATTTTTCCGAAAAGGAAGAAGTCGCACGGTATCATACAGGTGAATACGGGGAGTGGTTATTGTTCAAAATGCGATTTTTGGTCAAATAATCGATCACAAGCGCCGATCGAATGTTGGATTCTGAGCAATTTTTCGTCGTCAGTCAATTGTTGCGAAACAAACCGTGCACACAGCTTTCGTAAGCCCAATTGTTCAATCAAAATGCGATAAGTCGATGTTATGGAGATGTTCAATTCCATTTTCATGAATTTGAATGATGATTTCGGCTGACTTTTGATGAATTCGGGCACAGTTTCAATGGAGTTTCCGGTGATCACGGATTTTGATTGGCCCACATGTTGATCGTCATTTATGTCCTCACGACCACTTTGAAAACATTGAAACCACTTGTGAACTCTGCTACGGGATAGGATAAAACTAAATTTCGTCACGTTAAATCGTAAAAATAATTAGAAATTTTACGAACTTCTTAACTTTAATGTTCTAAAGTTTAATTATAAATATTATAATCGATATATTAAGGCTAGTATCTATACTAGGTACATTTCTACCCTTCAAGCGTCCAGATGTTTATTGTTTTACTAATATCCATTAATTTTTATATCAAGTTAAATTCCTGCCGAATACTGCTATTGTGAATTTTTAATAAAATAAAAAAAAATCATTATTTAATATTTCTAGATTTTGTATACTTCATGGACGTCAGAAGAAAATAAGTATAATTATTAAATTTTACAATATTTTTACAAAAAATTATTGTTCAACGATATTCTTGTGACATTCCATATTATAAAAAAAAAAAATAATATTTTATATTATAAAACATAGTAATTCAAATGGTCTATCGGTTATTTCTTTTTCCAAGCGGACGCTGACCTTTTAACAGGGCAAAAATTTTTAGTTCAGTCCAGCCTTAAGAGCATGGTGTTTCAGAGTTTCAAGTCATGTTCTGCCATCTGGACCAGTGGAAAGATTTGTTAAGTTCTTCGACATGGAAGCTCATACTGCTGAACAACTCGCTCAAAGTTTACTAGATTTCTTGAATGAGAGTGGTTTAATATCAAAGATTGTCGTGGGCAAAGCTATTATAATGCCAGCAACATAAGTGGGAAATACATCGGCTTTCAAGCCCGAATTAAGAAAATAAATAAGTATGAAGAATACATTACCTGTCATGTATATTCATTAAATTTGGTTGCTAAGGGCGCTGCAGACTGCTGTACAGAAGTATTGCTTTTCTTCGATTTCATTGAAAACCTTTATATGTACATTTTTTTCCGCTTTTACCTATCGATGGGGTCGGCTTACGACCATGCAATTAAATATTCTACTTCAAAAATTCCGATTTTGAAACGCTTATCGGACATTAGGTGGCCAGCCCGAGTTGATGCTACGAAGACACTTTTATGCGATTCATCACTATTAAGCAAATATTGGAAGACATTTCCAAAAACGTGGATCAAAAAGCGGAGTGCCATAATAAAGCTTACGGACTAATTTCAACAATGAATAAGTTAGAAACGGGAACAACGACAATTACGTGGCACGAAGTCAAGACCTTAATAAAGGGATACGCCCGATATGAATCATCATATGGCTACGTCCAAGCAATGCGATCCACTTTTTCGGATATTGAGGCAAGAGAATAGACATCATGCCGAATCAAGCGAAATACAAAGTACGACCATTTCAGCGGCTCTCCTACACTCGACGACTTTGTTGAAAATCAAACACCTGCACAACGTTTCGAATTTGAGGTGTTTATTGTCATTATTGACAACGTACTGGCTACTTTAACTAAACATATGAATGTATATCATAAAATTACTAGTATTTTTGAAGTATTTCGACAGCTAAAATCTAGTACAACAGAAGAGAATTTGGAAAAATCCTCTAGTATGGTCAGTGCTTAAGAAGATGATTTGGAGAACAGAATGGGCGGCGAATTAGTGCAGTTCGCAAAGCTGCTGAAAACAGATGTGGCTACTGTTATTGACAGCAAGAAACAGAACTCTCCGCAACAGCAATATTATAAACTTTTATTAAATAATTCTTTAGAATCGTGTGTCCCAAACTTAGAAATTGCTTTGCGAATTTACTTATTTCTCATGATCACTAACTGCAGTAGCGAATGTTCTTTTTAAACATTAAAATGTATTAAAAATGAAGTAAGGAACATGAAGGGCAAAGAACGTCTTAATCATCTCACTTTGTTGAATATAGAGCACGACTTGCTTAAAGAAGTCGATATTGAAAGTATTATCTCTAAATTTGCGTATAATAAATTCAGAAAAGTTTATTTGTAACAATTTTGTTTTATTTAGTACCTTAAACTTGAGAACCTATAGCAAACCAAGGCCCCTTGAGGGAATTTGCTACGGGCCCCGCGCTAGTTTAATCCGGCACTGTTCTTACCGTATCCTTATTGGATGAAATGCGCCAAGGAGATCATCTAAGGTAATGTAGTGCGAAATGATTTGAAAGTTACGTATATTTGAAAGAAGAACATGTGTGCGGACGTATGTAAGCAAAGTTTATAGCTGGTTGAGAGGCCTACTTGTAATTTAAGGAACATGCAAATATGGCCTAGCGGAGTAATTCTTAATTGACTATGCAGTGATCTAACTGTATATGTTTGTGTTTACGTAAATATGTGTTTAAGATTCGTTGTGCACAATTATAAGTAAAAAAATGTAAGCACTTCTGTCAATGACTTTTGCTAACAGGCTTGGTGTCAGTTGAGGCAGTACACTACCTATTTATTTTTTTTATATATTTTTTTTTTTTTTTGAAAACAAGGTATGCGAATCATCATCGGATGTTCTTGTGGTCCCACAAAAACAAGGTTTACCAATGAATATAGGCTTAATATGGACATGCGTCCTTTCGATACGCCAATTCAGTCAAATTGTAGGTCTAGAAAGATCTCGATAGAATCGGCTCCACTAATTTATTATATTTTATATTTTGACTTAGTTCACTTTTAAAAGTGTTGTTGGAATTTTAATTAGCCCATACGTTAGAAAATCCAAACTATACAATGTTAGTTATTAATTAGTTTATTAGTTTAGTTAGTATTAGTAAAATGTAGTAAACTGTATATATAATATAAATGTAGGATTAGAATTGCCATTCGAATTCTAACTAACATAGTTAGTAAATAATTGGAAAATACTTATTCGAACATCGAATAGTGGATTTCAATAGTGGATTATATAGAAGTTGTGGGCGGTAAGGCTTAGCGTCCATTATAGTGAGATAAGTAGTATACACATTCCTGATTGTATGTGACATGTTGTAAGTGTACCCTAATCTCGATTTAATAGAATTCCTACATAAATATCGAAACCACGAAGCAGTAGCAGCATCAACATATATAGTATAAGCAACCCAGATGTATGCGCAACATTATGCCTATTTTAGGGCAACATTATGCCGACTTTTGCAAAACTGTGTTAAGGCTGAGGGAAAGGAACGCCCCATGCCGATTAAACGTCTGAAGTAATATTTCCATCGACCATTTTAAAAGATGCAATTGAATACAAAAAGGCACGAATATATACACTTACATATAAAATAGCTAAGTATATACATAAAACGGCAGGCCGTCAATACTTAGACGACAAATAAAATACACAAGGGCGCACAAGTTACAAGTACAGAAAAAGGAGTATGCACAAGAAACGTAGCATATACTCAAGCGCTTTAGAATGCTACATTTTAACGCACTTCGCTGTTCTTATTATTTTTTGTATACCTCGCATTCAAACGTCAACTTTTCTACATTTTTTGTTGATTATTGACTATTTTACGTTTTGTACCTGAACTCCTTACTCTTCTTCATAATTGTTGGGTTTAATGCTTCTTTGGCGCTGCCTAATTTCAAGAAACATATTACTAACAACAATGTACACCACGCACCGTGTAAAAACGATAACTATGAAAGCTACCGTCCAAACGATTTTTAAGTAAGAAACTTTTTCCCTTCCTTTTTTTAAATTAGTTTAATTCTGCTCTTTTTTTTATTATTCTCATTAACGCGTGCAAAAATATTCAATAAAGTTGCACCATTACATATCTACACATCTGCAGTAGATATGAAAGGGATTAGGGTGGTGCTTTTGGCATGGCACATTTGGCGAACGCCAATTGTAAAAGTCATTTGAAAGAATACAACAATCATGGAGTAGTTATATAAAAAGCTAATGGACATGGAAACGCCCATCCTTAAACGGAATGCAAAGTTACAGAGATTGCTTCACCAATTTTAAACAAATTTTTGTGTATGGGGTTACCTAAACATTCCCACAAGATACTTTGAAAATGAGTGAAATCGGATGATTGCCACGCCTAATTTCGCTACAACAAACTTTTAAATTCCACCTGATCCTTTCACTTTCAGTCACAACTTAGAAATTAATG